ATGCAGCTGTCCAGGGATCAAATGATCTTCCTTGAGGCCTTTGTATTCCTCTCTGCTGCTCGGTAGCATGCAGCAATTGCTCATCCCAATCATACTGAATTACTTTTCCCAGCCCTGCTAGTTAGTCAATTAAAATATCTTACTTCTGCCTATAAGCGTCTCTTGGCAATGACACTCTTTGGTGGCTTGCGTAGCTGTCTGAAACCCAAGGGACACAGCCATGATCCCCCTGCTGTGTGCTATTCTGATGACGCACGTGCTGCTAGATGACTGGTAGCTTGAAAATGCCTCATCTGCTGTCCTTTGGAGATGTGTTCAACTATTCCCCTGGTTTATGTAACCTCAAAGCAATTTGCTTTCATGGCAGAACATGCTTATTTGTTCTATTTTAACTGTGCATTGAGCTATAAATAATGTCTCCTTGCAGATAAGAATCTAATAATTTTTTTTTTTTTTTCTGCCTTTGGAAGATTTTCTCCTGACCCCAGCTGCTGAAGGAGACTTTCCCAGCCTTAGCGGTGAAGTTGCCAGATTGACTTTCTCCTGCCAGGCAGCCATGAACGGTGTCAATCCCAGGTCGGCTGCTACTTCCCTGCAGCCACCTCCTCACCTGTTCCTGCTTGGGCTGTGGCAAAGATGAAACGAGCACTCAGTGATGCACAGGTGAGATCACTGAAGTCTCAGGAAAACTGATTAAACCAATGATTTCTTCTTCCTCTGACCAGCTGCAGGATAACATCTCCTGCATTACCTCCAAACCACCTTCCCTGCAGTATGTTCACTTCAAAGAGCAATAGCCTGGGCTGTTGTCCAGCCAAATGTTCTGCTGTTTAGCGCCTCCTTTTTCTGCTGCTCATTCTAGCGTTTTCCTGCTTTCATGTGAGTAACTCTTGGCCTGTGCAGTGGAGCCCTGACCTGATGTCCTCATCATCCAGAAACTGCCCAGAGCTGGAGCACAGCACGAGCTGGTGAGGTGAGAAGTGAAGGTATGTTCTCAGAGCTAATGCTGCTGAGACCTGCGTCTGGTCCAGGCTGCAGCACAGCAGTGAAGTGGCCACTATTTTGGCAGCTGATTTTCTGTGGTGCTGTAGGTTCGAATGCTGACGCTCTTCTGGGGAAGTGTTGTGATGGCAGGGGTCTGGGCTGTTGCAGAAGTGGAGAGACTTTGAAATCATTGAGAGCTAATAATGTTCTCAAATTTGAATAGTTTAGTGTGGTGGCTTTTTTTAACAATGATTACAATCTACTCTCAAGTTACTGGTCATCCCCCGTTAAAAAGTACTGGGAGCTATTTCTACCACTTACCTTTGCTAAAGGGTCACAGGTTTTAAGAAAACTTTGAGGCTGCTCTCCTAGGTCATGGAGAAGTATTATGTTCCTTCATTAATAAAAACTATCCATAGGAGAGGGCATTATGTAAGTACCATGTACCTGAATAATTCAGGTTGGAAGAGCTGTCTAGAGGTCTCTAGCCCAACCCCTGCTCAAAGCAAGGCCAAAGTCAAAGTCAGCTCAGGGTGCTCAAGGCCTTCATTGTTTAGCTGGGCTTTCAGTATCACCAAGGAAGGACATGCATGACCTCTCTGGTTCCTGTGCCACTGCTTGATCGCCCTCATGGCGAAGAATAATTCCTCATATTCGGTCAGAATTTAATCCATTTGTTGTGCAGCTCTGAGAAGACTTTGGCTCTGTCTTCTCTATAACCCCATCAGGGAGCTGCAGATAGCAATGCGATCCCCCATAGCCATCTCTTCTCCAGGCTGAAGAAGCCTAGCTCCAGCTTACCCCGAATGTCCTGTGCTCTAGCCCCTGACCAGCCTGGTGGCCTCTGCTGGACTTGTTCCCATGTGTCAACATCTGTTCTTGCAGTGGGGCCAAGTACATTTAATCCATTGCATAAGTAATGTGAAACCATGTTAGCCTTCACCTGCAGGGTACAAAGTTCTGCACATGGTTGTATTAGTTCAGGAAAACATTCACCAGGATTACCTGAATCAAGCTCTGTGTATTAAGTTCATAAACACAATGGATATGTTTTCACATCGATATGTTTCTAATCATATCAGTGACTTTTTATTTGCTTTATTGCTTAGTTCAAACGGTGCCTTTAGGCACTAGGTGAGAGGGAGATCTTCCATTTGTTCTGTATTGGTTTCTCTGAGCCAGGTGTGTGGCTCAGTACAAATAGTTATTGGCCACACTTGGCCAAGAGAAAGACAAAGATGGCAACTGCAGTCTGAATTGTATTTAGCAGGCATTTTGGAGTGATTAGAGGCAATTTCGTGAAACAACTACAACTAATTATTGTTATTTCCCACTTTTACAACAGCTATTTGTTAATTAAATAATGTGACAAAACCCAGGAATTTTTGGAAAAGTGTATTAAATAATTTGTCATTCATTTATCAGTGTATTACTTACACTGAGAAGTCACATATCCACTAAGAAAATTTCCCAATGTCAGTTTTGATTCTTCCAGAGAACATGAAATCGATACTGGCAAAAACTGTAATGGGAAATGTAAACCAAGAAATTCCTTGGGTAAGTGAGAGAGGATGTTGTATAATGGCCAAATCCTGCCCTGGTGTCAGCCTGCAGACCCTCTGGTGCTCAGGACCATAACATGTGGTACCCCGAGATGTGGCACTGCCTTCGCTTACTTGCAGATCTCTGCCCTCGTGCTGGCTTCTGCACACAGGAGGATTTTCCTTTAGCCAAATGGTCATTAGCCATATGCTGCATCTGACTTCTAGGATTAGAAGACCGTAATGAAGTGGATTACAGCATGACATCAGTGGCAGGACTGCAGACCAAATCCTCTTTCTAACTGTTCTTCCGGGAGTAGCTAAGAACTGAGCAACCTGTCCTACAGCATGAGCTTAGCCAGCTGTGGGATTTTTCCACGCTGTTATCAGAGGCAGGATAATCTGGAGCTGTAACCCCGGGTGGCGAGACTGTGGATGTTGGCTAGCTGGAGGCTGTGCGTGAGTCTGAAACCTGGTGATTTCTGGGTGTCATTTTTGTGGCTTGCCTAGAGGGGGTACCTGAGCAGCTCAGGGGAGACTGCTGTTCCCCAGTCAGCACTCAATTGTCACAGACTTGAGTCTCCCTAGAGTGTCTGTAGGTGAGAATGAAGGAATGGATCTGCTGAACATCAGATGGGCGTTGTGGCGGTCGGAGGAAATCTGGGTTGCTCGGGGCCAGTAAGTGTCAGACCCAGTGCTGAACCCAGCACTTGCAGTGGAAAATTTCTCTATGGTGTATACAGGCAACACACGCCAGCCTTTGGCAGGAAGGTGCTCTCCGCCCATCAGGAGAGAGGTCGGTCCTGCCTAGAAGACAGCACTGTCCGGGGCAGGGAGCAGTCTTGAGCAGCAGCATGTGGGCACCAGGCAGGAGGCAACCTGTGAAAAGCTGCCAGGTCGGGGCTGGGAAGGCTGGTGAGGATGATTCGCAGAGGTCTCGCTGCCTGGCTGGAAAAGGCAGTGGCAAAATTCATATTTGACCCAAAAAGATGTACCTCCTTCCAACTGTGCAGAGACTGTACGTGTGAACTGATGAAGGCAACAAGCACGGCATGTGACAGCAGCCTCAGTGTGCTCCTGTACACGCTCAGGGAAAAGTATTTAGCTTCCAGAGACGCCATCCGCAAGGCACATTAGGGCAATACATCTTGAAGATGTGCCAAATCTGCCTGAAATATTCATGCATGCTCCCTGTAATTTATAGAAACAAACCCAGCAGCATAATTATTTTAATGCTTCTCCCTGTGAAGAAACCCATCTCTTAGGTGAAAATGTTACCTATGTATCCACACAGCCATGCTGCGGCCTTCATAACATGCCAGTGCTGAGGATAGGTGATTCCATGCACTATACAATTTATACTTTTAAGGATCAGAGTATACCCTTTAGACCACTGTGATGTATCAGACACCAACATAATTGCTTGGGCTAACTTTCAATGGTTTCAGCTGAATTTCATTTGATTAATAGGTGGTGCCTTGTTTGTTCAAGGGAACATCTGTAAAGCATCTTTTGCTCTGCAGCTCCCACGGTGCTGAAGTCTATCCTAAGCACAGTGCTTAGTTCCCATGACTAAAAAAACCCAGGTACGCTTGCCATTTCAGACCTGTGAAAGGGATCATGGCGAGAAACTTAGGTTAAAGGCAGAACCCACTCCTGCAAAATTACACCAACTAAACCAGCAGAGGTCCAGATCTCCTAGGAAGGAGCAATTTGGAGATGGCACAAAGGCTGGAGGTGTGAGACAGACAGGAAAATTGGGGCAGGCTTTATGTTTTAAGCATCATTTTCTAAAATATCAGTAGGGGGAAAGGACCTACTGTACTTTCAAGCGTAGTTGGTGCAATGTAAATAGGTTGCCAAACCTTCAGTGTCTTTTGTTCTTAAGATGGCTTGGCGGAACACTTTGAATTGGTCGGTGTGTTTAATTGTGACTAGGTCTGTAAATAAGTGCTCCCTGCTGAGAAGGTTCAAGTGACATTTTTAGTGGCATTTGACAAAATTTAACCTGCTTTCAAGTCTTCTACTGAACTCTTCTATACCCAGGCAGTGAAACTGTCAAGAAGCCCTTTCTTTTATCAAACCAGTGCTAAATACCATTTAGGTATTTAGCGTCACAGGTTAGAGACAGTCCTGCCAGACTCGCCTGACAAAGCTTAACCAGTTCTGTTGATGTCAAAGTGTTCATACCTAGCGGTGAGTATTTGGGAACGCGGAAAAAAAAACCCATCCAAAACTGGAGACTCTCAGCCTGACCTGCAAACAGGGTAGTACTGCATGCTCTGCTTAAGCTGCTCCCTGATGGGAGATGTTGCTCTGCAGAGACTAATGAAGGACCTGCTGTTTACTCCCCTCAATATTTTGTGCTCCTTACATTTCTACCAGAATCCTAAAGAGGTTTCTTTTGTCTAAAAGGCTGTTTGTTTGGTTTTGACCACTGAGAACATGTGATACTTGTCTCAAGCTATTAACCAGATGTCCAGCCAAAATCAATTGCCTAGCAGATGCAGACCATTACCTGGAAGTCAAGACCTCAATAAATATTACCAGCCTCATTGTACTGGTGACAGATTCTGCTGGTTGTTTTATGTTACAGTTGAACAGTTTAGACATTGCATTTGTATATATTTGCAGTTGGCCTTGGAGAGACCATCTCACGAGCAGAGTGGGCAGCCTGCAGACTCAAGAAATACTTCCACCATGACCACGGCAGGTGTTTTTGTGCTCCTCTCCTTTGCGCTTTGCTGCTTCCCAGGTGAGTAACACTCAAGGCGCCGCAGAGGCTTCATGTCTGAGTCCTGGCTGTCTTTAAAAGGATAAGATAGTGGCTTCAAAGAGAGAAAATCTTCTCCTACAAAGAGCTAGGCTGCCTCGGTATGTTGGCATCGCATAGGATGCAGGAGCAGATTTCAGGGCAGTCTTAATGGATCACTGTTGTAGCTGGTTGTCTGTCACAAATACAAATAACTGCAAGTGGAGTTCTGTGCTGGTAACTAGTGCTGCTACACTTCTTACACTGTTGTTTTAACACTGTTACACTGCTTACACTTGTTGTTGTACAATTACAGCAAATGGATAAATACTTGAAACAGGGTCGTAACGAGGTGGTCAGACCTCCAGTAACTAGTCACGAAAATATTGTAATGGCACAAGCAAGTTCTTTGCAGGAGCTTGGCACTTTCCTGCAATACTTTTGCTGCTAATGGGGAAACAAGAGATGAAAACAAGCCAGAGTCTGATGTTCTCGCTGCATATTTACATCTGATGAAATTACAAAGTCAAAGACAATTTTTTTCTTCACACTCAGCTTCTTTAAAATGCATCTTCCTGACAGCAGATGCTGTATGTATTTGCTTATCCTGTAGGTGACTATTTGCATTTATCTGTATTGACTCAGGTTTCTTTTCAGATATGTAACAGCAGCTCTTTAGGGTCAAAACAGATGTGTAAAAGATAAGGAAGGAAAAGCTATTCTATTTTCAATTAATAAGTCTACCTATCTCAAAATAAAAAAGAATAAAACTATTCAAAAACATGTTTCATCACAGCCAGCAATAAGCAACACTATTATCCTTATCAACATAGAAAAAAAAATTCATACATAGTTTATTTAGTTCAGGAAACCAACCACTGGAAATCATTCAGTTTGGTCCTGCGTATAGGAATTTTACATCCAGATTTCCAGTTTTAACTGAGGTCTTATAATATTGGCTTTGTTTCACACTTTCTGCCTCTCTTTTCTTTTCCAGATGCTGTCTTTGGGGTTGAGGTGAGTGGAAGATTTCTTTCTGTCACTTTTCTCAGGTATGTGGCCTGGTAAAGACATAACCAAAGGAATAGGAAAAATCTCAGGCCTGTAGATGCTTAGCTGTTTTTCACCTAGGGTGACATTAGTGTCATTGTAATCAGATTCTACAGTGTAAAAATTAAACTATACTGTTCTTGGCTCTGCATCTATGCTGTATGTTAATAATGTAGTAGTAGTGATACAAAATTTTTGGATGAATTCATTTTTCACCAACTTTAAACTGGTCTGAGCTTTAAGCAGGTCATATATGACTGGCTCTAAACTGATAGCAATAGACTGTGGTATCAGAACCTACCTGAAGGCAACCTACTGAAAGAATAAAATACTATGAGACACTCCAGCTTCCACACACCAGGTCATTAGTCTTGCTCCGCTGAAAAAAAAACAAAACAGAACACGATCAGTGTGTTGAGAATGAAAGACTAATAACAGAAGTGCACTGGAGGGGCCACAAGAATATAAGAACGAGGGACCAAGGGATAGTCTTTGTAAAAATGATGCCAAATGAGCATGAGAGGCCACCACTGTTTACCCCATCTTGGGGGGATACATGGCTATAGCATCAGAGATGCATGGTCTCTGCAGGAAGGATTCACCTGTTACCGGATTGACCCACCAGCACAAGTTTGTGCTGTGGTAGTGAAAAACCAACTGCAGGTTGTATCTGGTCACTGTCTCAAGCAAAATGAGAGTTGTGAACATAAAATATTTTCTCCACCCTGTTGCTGCATGTTCTTTTGGCAGGTGGACTGCAGTACATATCCCAACACTACAAATGAGGAAGGCAAAGAGGTGTTGGTCTGCACCAAGATCCTCAGCCCCATCTGCGGTACCGATGGAGTCACCTACAGCAATGAGTGCCTGCTCTGTGCCTACAACATGTATGTACTGCATAGGATATTTCAGGCAGCAATGCTTAGGACTCCTGGCAGCACCACTTTTCAACAAACAGTGATCTGTCATATGTCACTTGGGTCAATTCCTTCAAAATGAGCTTGGGTATCACTGCGTGGCACTCTGTTGCCTAGACATCGCTTTAGTCACCGTGTGTCTCTTTTGCTGGTGTAATTTATTCAGGTTTTTCTTCTCCAGCTCAAGGATCAGCCAGATGACAGCCCCTAGGGCACATCTCATCACAGCAAAGCAGAGCAAAAGGATGGAGAGATGCTCTGCTCTGAACTGCCCAAAATGGTCCTAAAGCTCTCAGGGTCTTTACATCCCTGCCAGCCACTCAGTGCTAGCTGGTCAGGGAGGATGGCACTACCTTCTCAAAAAATATGTGTAAGCCTGACTGATAAAGAGCCAGCTTTCCCTTGTATTAGTTACATATTTCCAGCACCTAGGATGTAGCAAGACATCTTTGCTGAACTTCCTAACATTTGCCTTTCCTTCTCCAGAGAATATGGAACCAATGTCAGCAAAGACCATGATGGAGAATGCAAGGAAGTTGTCCCTGTAAGTGAAACCAAGGGCAAAACAAGGGGCATGTCCCACTTCTGAGGGACGAAGCTGCTTATTGACTCCCCCAAAAAATAATTCAAACACTAAATAAGAGGACATATAAGATGTCAGAATCTTGCATTGGTCATCTTCAAGTGAACTGTCGTCATAGTAACATACAAAAAAGCATTTTTTCCTGCTGTGGTGGTATCCTAGGTGGTCAAACAGACACACTCACCAGATCTACTTGCTTCCTATAAGTAAGCCTTCACCAGTGCTTTGTTGTGTATTCCTTCAACAGGTGGACTGCAGTAGATATCCCAACACGACAAACGAGGAAGGCAAAGTGGTGTTGCGCTGCAACAAAGACCTCAGCCCCGTCTGCGGTACCGATGGGGTCACCTACGACAATGAGTGCCTGATGTGTGCCCGTAACCTGTGAGTACTGTGTGCAGAGCTCTCCTGTGAGGGACAACGAGTGCTTAGCACTCCTGGCAGCTGCTCTTCTGAATATCGGGACTTCTACCAAGGCCTTTTCTGTAAGGCACTTGGACTTTGACCCTCCCCTTTCCCTGGTAACTGGACCCTGTTTTCCTTTGTGTTTAGAAGGAAAACTGTGCCTTTGATCTAGAAAGAGAAGTAGAGGGCTGGGTGGGGATCTAACACAGGACAGAATGTTTCTCTTAACTAAGTTAAAAGGGTCTATGTGGCAGATGCTGCCTTGCAGAGAACAGCAACTAACGTAAGGTGCATCTACATTGTCACACAACCTAGCTCCTAGTTCACCCTAACACCCTAGACCCTCCCTTGTCCTTTGCATGATGCTGTAAAACAGCACTCCAGCAGGCTGTGGCACCACCTGAGCTGGTATCTAGAGCCATGTGGACACAGCCTAAGCTGGACGTCTCCTGTATCCCGTACATTGTACCTGAGGCTGATCAGTATTGCTGGGACATTCAGCAGAGCAGGTTGCTCACAGAGCTTCCTAACACAGGTGTCTTCCCTTCCCAGAGAGCCTGGAGCCATTGTTGGCAAGAAGTATGATGGTGAATGTAAGAAGGAAATTGCTACAGTAAGTGAACTGCGTGATGAGGGATGGGGTTTCAGTCCCACTGATGTCGGGGGAAGCACAGCCAGTGTTTGCAGCAGCACCCAGACCAGCAGGATCCTACAGGAGTGTAACTGCTGCTGTGCTTCAGCACAAGGAAGATTTTGCTTTCTCCATGCATAATACACATTATCCGCGCTAATGTCAGAAAAGGAAGAGGGTGACTGCACAGGAAGGGATCAGTAAAAGAGTAGTAGCAGAAATAATCCATCAGGGCAGAACTGAGAATAAGAACAGAGAATGGCTTTTGGGGTCAGACCAATGGTCCATCAAGCCCATGATGGCTTGATACAGAGTCTGCTCTTAGTAGGGGTCATAAGGATTGTGTAGGAGAGAGTAAGAGTAGAGTGAGTATGTGTGGGACTTCTACTCCTCCAACCTCCAGCTATTTTCAGGTGATGGACCTCAGCTAGGTGCGATTTCTGTGTAGTCAGTAGGCCTCGATGGATTTCTCCTCCATGAAATTCCTCAACCTCTTCCTGGACCCATATATATTTTTTGCACTACGATACCTCTCAGCAACTGTAGCACCCACTGCACAAAGAAACAAAATCCCACTCTCACAGTATCTAGCTAAGTGCTGATCTTCCCGTTTTAAGACTACGGGAGGGATACTGGACCCTTACACAGGCATCAGCACCTACACTTCTCCAGACACCAGTGTTTTTCCATTTAATTTCCTGGCCAGGTTGGGAACACGGTGCAGTGTGATTGCGAGCATGGCACGTTCACCGAGTGAACTGCTGCTGCTTAGAAATGCTGTGGTCAGGTTATGATATACATCTCTTCAAAGAGGAAATTATGATCTATTTTCATACTATTAAATTCTTCTGGCATAAGAGAAACTGACACCTCAGTTTATATCAGATTGTGCAAGGAAGTTAATTACTTTTAGTTAGATCGTTATCATTAGCACTGCAGCTGTAGCTAGGGGTTCAAGCCCTTCTGCATTGACTCCTTCATATCCTTCATATTAGACTTTTTTTTTTTGCAGGTTGACTGCAGTGACTACCCTAAACCTGTCTGCTCGCTTGAGTACATGCCTCTCTGTGGCTCTGACAGCAAAACATACAGCAATAAGTGTAACTTCTGCAATGCAGTCGTGTATGTACAAACATGAATCACATTCGTGTTATTGGTTGCCTCCTGTAGGCACAAGTTTGCACAGTTGCCGCTTTCTTGTTTGCTGACCAGTGTTGATTAGGGATTTGGGGCAGGAGAGAAGACCAGTCATCCTGCCAACCATTCATTTTTTTTCATTAGAGCATACGAAGAGCTACGTCTGGTTTGTTAGTGCAAATGGTTTGAAGACCATTAAACATAATGGAGTTTTTCTTGCATGTTGCAAAGAAAATTAAATTTGAAGTTTCATTATAGTTCCCAAAAATATTTTCAGTCTTAAGAATGGGTTAAATCATTTCACTCGTCTCTTAATAATCAAATAGCTAATGGGACTCTGAGTCTGCAAGTTCTTCGGCTCTGGGGCAGAATCCTGTCTGATGCCTTCTCTAGGAGCCAAGCAAAAGGACAGATTATAGCAGGCAGGACTCTGTCTAATCCATTTTTTCCTCTCGTCACTTTCAGGGACAGCAATGGGACTCTCATTTTAAGCCATTTTGGAAAATGCTGAGTATCGGTGCTGAGAGAATTCACCACAGGATCCCCAGTGGCAAATCCCAGCTAACGATCTCACCTCAGTTCATCTTGCCCTCTGGGGAACTCAGCTCACTCCTGATTTTCTTTCTCAATAAACTAAATCAGCAACATTTCTTTGTCTTGTTTCATGTGTTGTCTGATGAAACATTTTCTTCTGATTTGTTGAATGATGATGCCAGGCTGAATAAGTGCTCATAGCTCTGGGATATAAGAACAACGTCTTGCTCCCCTCCCTCTCATAAAAGGCAGAAAATTAAATACAGATGCATAAACCTCAGATCTGTGTGACTTTGCACATAAATGATAGTCAGCCTATGTTAGTGTTCAGACCCTTTTAGACATTTGACATTGTGAAGGGCTGAAGTACTGCTCTGAAGCGATGATGCTAGCTGATCTCTCCCAAGGTATTTCTGGTGCACTCTCCCTGTGCCGGCGTCATCAGCAAAACCCGTTCAGACTGCGGTGGTGTCTGCACCAAGAGCTCGTCCCCGGTCCTCACCTGAAGCATAGCACTCTGCAAGGGCAGTCTGTTAGCAAAGCTCGTATTTTTCAGACATGAGTGGGCCCTGACTATTTGTCTAGGCCCTCCAAATAACTTATTTCTAGGTTTTTCTCATCTTGAAATCATCCTTTAACAACCTCCAAGTGATTTAAGATAAATGTCCTCCTAGGGATGGTTCCTACTCCTGCATAGTTGTCTTCTCTCTTAGTCTTTAATGACATACTACTTTTTGCCAGCCCAAGGAGTATTTCAGCAGTGTTTCACAATCCAAGGACAAAGTATCCTTCTGTTTTTTGAGAATGTGACCTGTCATTGGCATATTGTCCATGAAATTTATTTTGCTTTTGTCCTCTGTTGGAGTATTGAATTAGTGGGTTTTTGATCCGCACAAGAGAAACATAAATAAATTAGGCGTATCCCTTCTAAAAAGTAATATCTCCCATATGCATTTCTTCTGGGAACCAAAGGGAGGGGGGTGCTTGTTTTCCTTGATGGAATGAGGCTGTCCAAAGAAGCGATGCTTTGGTGGTAAAACAAAGGATTTATGTTGAGATGGGCAGATGGATGAAGCAGCGATTTCCAGATCGGGTTCAACTTTTCTAGGATCCAGACTAGGGTCTCACATCATTCTGTCATCATCAGACTATCAGTCCGTTACTGCAAATCTAACCCACAATGCTAATGGCTTTTAGGGGAAATAACAATTGTGAATTCTTTGCATATGCCCATAAAAGTTGCTCCATCTCTTGTCCAGTCCAAGGACTCCCTTCAGTGTCTGGAACACCCCCTTGCTTGCCTTCCCAGTTCACTGCTTTCCCGGTTTCACTATAACTTAATGATGCTTTACTGGGATGAAGCATGAAAATAAAAGTAGAGACTTTCCACTCTGGAAGTGGTTCATTCAATGTTTTGCTTGTGAAAAAGCACTGCACGTAAATAGGCACTGATAGGTGCACACAGAGAAAATATGACAGCAGTTGCTGCTTAGGTTTGTACAGTTGCTCTTTTGCCCGCAGGAATTTTCTATGGTCCTTCAGAAGGAACCTGTCACATATTTCACTTGAAATAATGACACAGAGGGTGTATCTAACATATCTAAACTTCTTGTGACTCCTGTTGATGACGAAGCATTCTTCCTGGCTTACAGCATGGCTTATCTCTGTTGAGATTGCTACCCCAACAAAACACCAGGAACGTTCCTTCAGAATAAGGGTGGATAAGCCAAATATTTAGGCACACACACACACACACATGTGCGTGTACATATATGCATGGTTACCACCTGAGGGCAGAATTCAGGCTACATTTACGGAGCAAAACACAGGCTCCGCTGCACGCAGGTGCTTCAGCCACGATGAAGATGGCAGGCGTGTTGCTGCTGTTTGCTCTAGCCCTTTGCTGCATCCCAGGTGAGTAGCTTTACTGCCTCCTGCTCTGCCTTTCAGTAAGTGCTGGCTGTCTTTAAAACCACAAAAACATCCTCAGACTGGCAAGAGCTTTATTCTACAAGGACTTATTTACTCCTAGAAAGATAGTGTTGAAATGACTTGACATCAAAGACTATCACTTATGGGGTAATATTTTAGCAACAGAACTGAGTGGGTAAGAACAACTGTGGGAACAGCTCTACTCTTAGCGCTAGTTTATGCATAATGAAAGAAGTGACATGTACGTGGTACAACCCGGAGACTCAGACATCCAGTATTTAACCTCTGAAATGTTGCAGAAACACAAATTATTTTACTGAATGAGAACGTTTCTTGTAGTCATCCTGAACTGAGATGCAATTTGAGAGCCTGAACAGTTGTAGAAGCTTTATAAAAGTTACATCTCACTAAATACTCCTCTTACTTAAGAACTATTGTGGCGTGCAGTTGCCAGCTTTATGACCCTGTTTGCCTCAATAACTTGCTTAGCTTTGAGTACCTGTCCTGCTCCACCCTTTGAACTATGGAAAATGCCTTTCTCTTCTTTCATTTTGTACACCCTTTTCCATCTTGGCTGTAACCCTCATTAAAAAAATTATACTCCAGAATCAATGTTGTAAACATACAATATGGCACAAAATTTTGCCTGAAATTCCTTTTGTCTAAGAAGTAATTTGCTAACAAACAGTGAATTGAAAGTTGCGTATTCAGGGTATGCATTCACAGATTTTTAACTAACAGAAACCATGAATTGCATTTGTATCATAGTTCCTTCTTTTTTTCTTTTTTCCAGCTATTGATGCACTGCAGGTAAGGGACAGATCTTTCTATCTTCCATCATTTCTTTCCTTAAAGCAGTTTCTGTATAAATCCTTACTAATCACATTGTGATCGAGCATTTGAAAATCCTGAGTCATCCAGCTGTCTGAACAATATTTGCCACAGATGTTATCGGGTGAAATGGCCATTTTCATCTGATGATAGTTTCAACAAGCAGTGCAGTATTCAGTTTGTGTCCAAGTTATTGTCAAAGTTACTGCAGCAGCATTTACAATGGTTACACAGGCTCTACATTGCTGGCGGCAACGTACCACTGTACTCCTGCCCTGTCCCTGGGCTTTCTCTCAGCATCTGCTTCTGGCCAGTACTGGGGGGAGCTCAGGGTGTGTGTGGGTCTCCTAATGTCACCTTTCTTACATATCTGTTGTTGAGAGCTTTCTTGTGAACATAGATTGCATCTATCTACAGGGCTACTGCAGTAACTACGTGGTACCCAGCAATATCTGTACTATGGAGTACGTCCCACACTGCGGGTCCGATGGTGTAACGTATGGCAATAAATGCTTATTCTGCAATGCATTCCTGTATGTATGAAAATAAATTTCTTCACTAACCAAATGGTGAACTAACTTAGCTTAAACTAGCTAATCAGTCTTGGAGACTGGTTGGAGAAGTAAAGTTTTTTTATTTTGTGTTTACCTGTTCTCTTACTAGCAAGCGTCAGTTTTTTATTGGGAGAATTTGCCAGGAATTCCTTTCTTTCATGTATAAAGGGGTAACATTTCATAGAGTTCTTCATTTCCCTCTTAAGTATTTTGCTGAAGAGCTTTCTTCCAGCAAACAAAGTCTATTTCCTACAGACTATTTGTTCTTCCTTTAAATTAAGTCTTTATCTTGTCTTTGAATGTTAGTAATAAAAGGAAATACCTGGAATAGTGTTCAGAAGTTTTCCATTTTGTTTAAGTTCCTCTATGATATATCCTTCACCAGAGGGAGGGACAAACAGTAAAAGCCCAGATGTTCTGTTTCTGAGGTACTGATTTCTTTCTCCGCAGGAGAAGCCGTCGGACTCTTCGCTTGAGATATCTTCAAAAGTGTTAACTTCTCAACAGGCTTCAGCTCAGAAAGAGGAACCCTCCCTGGCAATGTTCCCCATGGCAGATGCTCCCCTAAAGCCTTGTCCTGAACCTTGAAAGCTCCTGATGAATCTTGAAACTTAATTAAAAAAGCCATCAGCATTTAAGTCTTGCTTTAATAATATGTCTCATTCTGTTTTTACCTAAGATGGTGCATGATTACATCACTGCAACAGTCCTGTGGTGCGGGTATGCACAGGCAAATTACAGGGAGAGGGAATACTTTCAGATCGGGTTCAACTTTTCTAGGATCCAGACTAGGGTCTCACATCATTCTGTCATCATCAGACTATCAGTCCTGTGGTGCGGGTATGCACAGGCAAATTACAGGGAGAGGGAATACATTGTTCTGATCTACAAAGAAATCAACCCCAACCGCAAAGGCAATGGGTAGATCTTGAGGGCATCTGCCTTCATCCAGCTTTCCAAAAGAAAACCAAGGCTGGAGATGCATCCTGGTGCAATGCTCCAATCGATTTATTCCACTAAGGGCATCTCGGACAGCCACTCTCTGCCTGGGTGATAGGAACTGTCTGCCCCCCTAACCGCTGCTGTCAAATACCTGCTGTGTCACACCTGCATTGCTGTATGGTAGACTTTGGCAGCATGAAGAGGCCCCAGGCAAACCTGAACACACATGTAATTATAGATAGTCCCAAGACTGTTGCAGTTGGGGGTGTTTTGTTGCTGTTCTGCAAAAGCCATGGAGGCACAGAGGGTCTTGCTGGCACCGGGAGCTGCTCATCCCTGTTTCAGTTTCCAGGGTTAGCCCCAATTTCTTATGCCCACAAGAGAAGTGGCGAAGAAGGGCAGTTCCCAGATGCATCTCTTCCCCTTGCAGGCAGGGTTGGAAACACACCTTTAAGTGAGAGAAGCCCTTTTGCAATCCACTCTGCCTCCCAAAGCAATGGGACAGGGTGTTTTCTCTGGGCAGGCGGATACCTGGCTGCCCGTGTTCATGTTTGCAATGTTCATCGGTGCGGGGTATTGCAGAAAACCAGTGGGCAGTCCAGTCCTAACAGACCTGATGTTCAGAGGACTGCTAGCAATCACTACCGCAGCCCGTTTCTGCACCTCACCCACCACTTAGCTGCTGCTTGTAGGTAATTACATCGACTGTCGCTTGTAGAGGATCCTTTGAGATTCTTCGGCCTCTGGAAATCTCGGTTGATGAAAGGAAGGGCTCAGAGTCATAGCGTTAATTTATTATTCATTAACAGCGAAGCGCTGGCAGTGTGGCATGCTGTACAGGCAGAAGTCTCACAGTCAAATAGTTAATGATCTTAAGTGACAATGTGTCACTTTCCAGAGACTGGAGAGAGCAGCTCTCTGAAGGGAGACAATTTATTTCCAGAAGACATGACTCTCTGCAACCATTTAGTGCCAAGTCCCTTCCCGGGGCTGGAATGTCCCTCCTGTGAGAGGGAGGTCTGTGTGCGGGAAGGCATTTCAGTGTTAGATGCAATTTCTTAGGACCAAGCCAAATTGAGGCTCTGGGAGGTAGTGCCAGGGGTGTGTGGCTCAGGGGCTTCAAGCTCCTTCTTGTCCCCCTCCACTGCGCAAGGGAGTCGGGGGTAAGAGAACACCAGCTCCAGCACTTATTTTCTTTCCTGTGGAGCAGCAGAGAGGATGAGGATGGCCCCCAGGAGCCACGATGTCTTGGAGACAAGCGGAGCTCCCGATCGCGCTCAAGATCCCAGTGGTCCTCAGAGGGCACCTTCCAGGGGCCATGTCCGCTAAACAGGAAAATCCAGCAGGCAATTGAGGGAAAACTGTGAGTAGAAATGAACGGGGACAAATCCTCCACCTTGATGCAGGGTTATGCAGTATTACTGAGGAGTGACCGAGGGCAGAGCAGGACCCCAGCGGCACCCCAGACCCCCTGCCCCAGGGGGGCAGCTGCTTAGGATGGAGAGGAAGACAGTCCTCTTTTATGGGCACCTCATTGGAAATAATTTTTTTGTTGCTGCTCAATAAAATCCTGCCACAACAACACTAAATCCTCTCACCATTACTAATCTAACTCTGCCTCCGGGAAATTCAAGGCAGGAAGCATTGTCTGCCTGCCGAGGTGTTTTGTGGTACAGTTCTTTAAGCAGTACTTCAGCACTTTATGTCATTATCTGATGTTTGTGAATTTAGGAAATGCCATTCAATTACCTCACAACCTGATTAACACATTGCATGTAGTTATTTTGTTCTGCTCTATTTTATGTCAATGCTTCTGTTTTAGTGTATTGGTCTACTTGTTGCTGGCCAAAATATACCTCAGGCCAGTCTAGCCCTTTCTGCTAATGCAGTTTCTCCCTGAGGCTTCATTCAGGATAAACAGTATGTTACTACATTCTTTCTCGATGCGGAGAAAAATAAAATGATGTTTTAAAAGAAAATTACTTGGAGACGTCGTTTTTGAGGGCTGGCTGTGTCAGAGCTATTGCAGCGAGGCAGAGCTGAGACTTGCTGAGGGATTGGGATGTGCGGGGCCAGATCCTCAGGTTTTTGCTGTTAGTATGCGGCTCCAGACAGTCAAATTATTCCAGACACCCTTGCCTGTGATATCATCTATGCTTAAACGACTGAGGATATGCAGGCAGCAATCAGATAGCTGAACTGCAAGGGGAAATATTACATGAGTGCGGCTTAGAGCAGGGGCTTTGCTTGCTGCAAATTGAATTCACGTTCTCATAGAAGATGCAGTTCTGCCCCCGTGTGCACAGGTCTGGGAACAGCAACCTGTTTTGTGAGCTCTTGCAGTGTGCCACATCGCTAGTCAATGGCAAAGAAATGCATTTTGCATTTGTCTCTACAGTAGCATAGACTGGAGCACAGTGCCCCACTTTATTCTTGATTATGGTGTGGTGCGTGACAGCAGGATACGGGAGCAAGGACAATGATACCACCGCTGGAATAACAACACGTGGTCTTGCATGCACACATCCACCTTTTTTATTTTCCAAAAAAATTAAAAAGTGTCGTTTCTCTTTGTAGCCAGATGAAGCCTGTGACAAGTTTTAAACTAAAGCAGGGAAAATAAATGAAGAATTTTTTTAGGTCATGGTAGATTATGGACTTGTTTGAGGTAGGGAATCTCAGGAGCAGAGGAAAATATTTCCAGGAAAATATCACTGTTATGGGAAGAAATAATGCTGGGTTAGAAACTGGGTAGATTTTCCAGAGTTATTGGAGATTTACCTTAATATAAGAGGTTCCATCATGTGACTACCAATGTTTATCCCACTCATGTGGCCATAACGACCTTGACAGATTGCCCTCCAAGCACTTGAAATAGCAGGAATAGTTTTATTTAAACTTTTCTGTGGTTCTCATATCTGTAGAAGGGTTAAAATAATCCTATGGCTAAAGTCACTTCACTGAGCCCACCATCATGAGACTCTTGAATATCACAGAGGGGTTTTGGCAGGTGAGTTCATTTTGCCCTTCCCATCTGCAACGTGTAATACATTTCCCGAAGCTCACTCTTCCAAATGCATGGAGACAGTTGTTTTTGACCGCTCCTAATGCCTGTTTTCAACACATCTGCTGCCCCACAATTACTGCTGTCCCATTCCCTCTGTTTCTTATTAATGGAGCTCCTTGTGCAATCCCACGTCACACCTAGCCCAGCAGCTCTCGCTGCCCTGCCCTTGACTGCTGCCAATTGTCTCCCATCCTTTCTCATAGACCCTGTAGCAAGACTCTTCCCTTGCTTCTCTTTTTCTCCCTGCTGCCCTGTGAAGCGGCAGGGATTACTGGAGGAAAAGAACTGCTTTTGGAGCAGTCCTGGCTGGCTACCCTGACCCTCAGAAGCAGCATGTGAATTCGGGGGGGGAACCCCCCAAATGTATCTAATTAATAAAAGGGCAGGTGTTGACCAAACACGAGAATGATGCCACTCCCTAGCAGATACCCTGCCATTCACAACAGCTCCTGAGCAACTGGTGTGATTTCAGCTTGGCAGGAGAGGAAACTGGAGAAGCAGCACAATTTCTGGTAACTGGGGATCTCAGATCTGGAGGTGGATATGGGCTCAGGTCGCAGGGCTGGAGAGGAGGGAGACTGCATTCCTGTAGCCTCACTAACCACCGCCGAGCCAGCACGTGCCAGCTCCACAGGTGGCTGGTGCAAGTTCTGAGGAAGCCTTGTTTTCAGGCTTCAGCATTCTTGCCCCTGGAGAATAATCAATATTAATGCTTCTGTGATTACTGCTTCCCTTCCAAATATGCTCACAATCAGTTCAAGGAATCTGAAAGTCAAGTCACTCAGGATGCTAAGAATACAACAGAAACAGCTTTCAAAGGAACCCTTCAACTTCTGATATTTGTGAATGAGATCCAAATAGCATTACTCATTTATTTTTCAGGAAAATTATTTCATTGATATGAACAGGCCAAATCCCGCAAGCTCTATTCTGTGACTACAGTTCCCTTACACTGTCAGCTACACTTTTATGATTTATCTGCCCATGCCAAGACTTGAACGTCTCCCAGGATAGTAAGAAAAACAATTCTGATTTTCTATTTAAAACTCAGGCTGCCTTTAAGCCACCTGTATGAATCAAGCTTCTTCTAAAGCGCAAACATGTTCCATCCCTCGCTTCCTTCCATGACTACCTTAAATCAAAAACGTATGTTTTTATGCTGTATTCCTTATTTGTTTTTCCATATACTTGCGATAGAGTTGAACCACTTAACAGAGCCTAGCACATTATTCTTCACTTATCTTCCTTAAAACAAGACTTTCAGCTGACACTCTAAATTTAATGCCATATAATAGAGGGGGAAGGGGGGAGCCTAAGGACTCACCTTCTGTTTGCAGCTGCTACAAATTTTTCTTGAATGTCTTTGGTATTAATAAGCCCATGTCACCTGCACAGAACACCACTCGCTTGCCATTGAGAGGAAACATTATCCCAGTCCCAATTTAAGGCTACTTATTCTCATCATTTCTTAATCAGACTCATGCCCATTGCCAACAGATGAGTAACTCTTGCTCCTACATAGAAATGTCTTTATAAACTTCTGAAGTTTTAGGTAATGCTTTCCTGTTGTGATGACTGTTTCCTTCCTGTTGGTGAGAAATCCAGTGTACCAGGAAACTACAGGAGAGACTGTGGAGAGATTCATTGAGCCCTCAGCATCTTTAAAGTACACTGATGCCTGCCAAACCCCAGATATCATGTCTGTAAAACCTTAGAGTGTCCCATGCTGCTGTCCCCCCACTCTGGTGTACCATGCAACTCTCCTAGAGCCCAAATACCGTCTAGTGTATGTAACATGGTGTGCACAAGTTCAAACACTTTCAACAAATGGGCTTTTTTTACTTTACCAACTTCCAAATGTAATTTCTCAACAGCTACTATTGGGACAGTGCTCTTGTTTGGAAAGTACAGATCACTCATTGTGATGAGTGGCAGGGCGCCTTTTTTAACAAGCTGGGTGTAGCTCACATTTTTGCTTAATTCTTCTGGTCATCTCTCTAGCAAACAAGTATTCTTCAGAGCTCACGTCAGTAACCAATACAATTTTCTTAGTTTACAGAGGAAGTAATTACTTTATGGGATGACTTCACAAGGTCAGGGAGACGTATATCTATAGTGCGTAGTGAGGAGGCTGAGAACCATCTTCTGAACTCAACAGTGACAGATCTGCAAGTAACAGGCTATACAACCATCTCTGCTATGAAGACAACAAGAAGCATTGCCCTTCTTGGGTTTGTGCTTCTCAGCTGCCTTCCTGGTAAGTTGTTTTTGTTACAGTCCATGCTAGTACCTTTAGTCCTCCTGAACCTCTGCCTTTATATATACATCTTAAAGGAGAGTTCAGCCTTTTGGAGAAGTGATGATTTAGTAATACATGAGCTCTCTTTTAATGAATTTTATCCTTGTGCAGATAAATACTATAGATCAGTAGGATGCATCTGTCTGATTTAAACTTATGAGACTTTGTGAGGATAATAGTGCTGTAAAAGGAGAAAAGTTTATGTCCTATTTCTTCTTTAGTGAGTCAAAATTTCTGGTTTCACAAATAATTGATTTTTTAAATCTTAGCATATAACTTCTTGTTTACTTGGAGTAGATAAAACATTTGGGAAAACAATAACTTCTCAGTAATAAGAAAGTGTATTTGGTTACTCTGTTGGGAAATGGATGATTCCAAAGGAATTTTAGTCAAGGACTTTGTACAATTTTTATATTTTATAATCTCTGTTTTTATTGTAGATATTGTTATTGCTCAACGGTGGGTGAGTAGTAGATCTTCTTTGTCATTTAGTCTTGATATCTAAGTCAAGATGAATAATTCATACTCACACTGTAACCCAGGGAAGGCTTGAGGGAGAAAAAAAAAGAGAGTGAGTGAGAAAGGAAGAAGGAAGAGTGCCCCTAAGTATTATACCTCCCCTTTTCCCCAAAATAAGAAAATATCTTTGTCACAGAAAGATAATTTACCATGTTGATGATAAAAAAGACAGCACTTAATAATGTAGAGTGAGAGTAAGCACATCACAGAGTGCCAGCAGAAAATCCATACAACTATTGAATAACTGCCTAAATATCTTCCCTGTCTTGATTCCCCAAGGAATGATTGGTTTTGCCTGCAATTCTTGCCAAAAGTACTGAAAGTCTTAATAGCGAAAAGGTGCTTTTGCGTGCTATAAGAAACACGGTATATTTTGTTCCCTCTCTTCTTCACCATGGAGGAACGATAGAGCAAAATAACGACCAACAATTTTGTTTGAACAGTTTAAATCAGTGAGTTTTAAAATGTTATCTTGTGTATAACACCAGACTTAAGAATGGAAACTTTTGATTTCAATAATTCAGCGTTATCAAAACACTTCCCTTTAGGCTTGTTGAAGCTAAGAAATTCCCAAAGGAAGTTTGGATTTTGACTAAATCATAATTTTGTAACAGAAAAAAACAACTCTATCAGAACATTTATCATAAAGTTTGTTTATTAATATATGGAGCTACCGTGAAGCGGAGAAGTATCTCTATTTTTAGTTTAGAGTGAGAAAGTAAAGAAACACTCTGGCTGTGCAATTTAACATAATACAACAACTTCCATTTCAGTACACTCAGAGTAATTGCAGAAACACCAAGGTGAACGTAAACTCCATTTTCAAGTGGCATCGACATTTCGCAGCAAAAGTTGCTGCTGCATAAGGCATTTTAGGTAAAGATCCTTCATGGTGGCGTTCACAGTGAAAATCCCCAAGGCGACAGGGGATCCCCAAAAAACCAGATACCCCAGGGTCACGCTGTACCCACGTGCGGGATTTCACCTGTTTGTGCTCCTCCAATGCCACCACGCTGGGGCTGGAAGCTCCTCTCCCCTTGCAGCTCTGGGGAGATGTCTCTTGCACCACGCTCCATTACACAGGACTGATGCAAAGGGGAGCAGAGATTAAAATGTTGTTCTGTGACTGTTTTCAGCTCGACTGTACTGACTACCTGAGATCAAGCAGTGGTCGTGCGATCCCCTGCACCCTGGAGTACAGGCCTATCTGCGGCACCAACGGGGTAACCTACAGAAACAAGTGCAACTTCTGCAATGCTGTGGCGTAAGTGAAGGGGCTGGGTCATAGGAGGGGTTTCTGGATCAGTAGGTGCTTGTGTTGGTATTTAGAGCGTAACGAGGTAGTTTGACTCGTGAAGCGGCTGCACTGTGCTCATTCATTCTCAACTTGCTTTCTTCCCAAAGGAATGGACTGGACATAAACCTGCGTAATGTTGGAGAATGCTTCCAGGTCCAGGTAAAGCACAGAAATCTGCACTCTTAACTGCTGTTACAATACATTTTACAACACAAATTCACTGAATCATAGCTAAATAATAGAAATGCCTGCACTGTCCTGGTGCATTTGGCCTGGAAATAGGATTTGAGGAAAATAGTTAAAGTATGCCAGGGTCAAAGGGTATTGAACCAAATCCATGACTTGGATATGCAGTCCCCGCTCTGACCTGGGAACACAGCAGTCATCAGGTGCTGAGACCTTCATTTACTGGGAAAAGGGCTGAGCAAGAGATGCTCATCTCTTCTGCGGGAGAGCAGGAGGGTCATGTACTACCAGTGCTATTAGTAGCGGTGATTCCTCGGGTGGGAGTACTTTCTGCAGTGTGGCTTGTGACCATCCACTTTCTGTACGCTTGCCTCTGCTACCCTGCTGAACCAGAACAGAGCAGCCAGTGGGAGGGCCAACCTGGAAATATCAGCATGGTCATTTCACTATTTATAATAATATTTATTAGATTTCCCCCCCCCCCCCCTTTCTCTCCCGCTCCTCACGTTTACGGAGCGTATCCCACCCC